CACAATCGTGACGGATCCAGCACCTTCTGGAAGGTGCTCAGCATCCTTGGGACGGATCCAGCACCCTCTGGAAGGCGCTCAGCACCATCTCGAGGGTGCAGGATGAGTCCCGCGGTTGCAGGATAAGTCCTGAGCGTGCTCAGCACCATACCGTGGGTGCTCAGCGCCGTCTCGAGGGTGCTCAGCACCATCCCGAGGATGCAGGATGAGTACCGAGGGTGCTCAGCACGCTCGGGACTCATCCTGTACCTTCTGGAAGGCGCTCAGCACCCTCGGGACCTTTGATCCTGTTCCCTTTGATCCCATTACCTTTTTTCCCAATTTCCGTTTCTCCCATAATTCCCTTTTTTTTCTTTATTCCTGGTTTGTTGTTTTCTTTCCCGGTTTTTTTTTTCTCCCGATTTCCAGTGTTTTTTTCTTTATTCCCGTTTTTTCCCCCAGTTCCCGATTTTCCCCCAATTCCCGTTTATTTATTGTGCCGGTGTTAGCAGCGGGGCAGAGACAGGCGGGGGCCGTGTGCCGGCGTCGGGCGGCTGCGGTGGTGGACGCGGGGACGTGAAGACGCACGGCGGGGACCGGACAGCGGCTGGGCCGGGCGGTGGCAGAGGCGACGCGGCTGTCAGCAGTTGTAGAGCCGGGGCCCCGTGCCCGTCCTTGCTCTCCCCCCCGCGGCTTGAGAGGCCGGTACGGAGGGCGGTGGAAAAGCTGCGGCTGCGAGCGGGCACGGGGCAGCCGCGGGCGGCGGCAGGAGCATCGGCGATAGAACCTGTGACTGCGCATGCGTGGATGACGTCAGCGCCGCAGGGCAGCATGGGGGAGTGGTGTGGGACGGCGCGACTTCCGAATGGGCCCCGGCGGCACCGCTGAGAGCGGCGTCGCTGAACGGCGGCGGCGGCGGCGGGAACGGCGACTGCACGGCTGCCGGGAAAGCGGAGCCCGCGGGGCGCCATAGGCGGCGCGGGCGGCACGGAGCGGCTGTAGGGGAGCGGAGCGTGCCGGAACTGGGGTAGGAGTAACGAGGGCCGCGCGGTCGAGGGGCGGGGGCGCGCCGCTCTAAGCGGGCGGGAAGGGAGGGACGCCTGTGGGGACAGAGGGAACGGGGGCCGTGAGGGCAGAGCCGGGGGCGGGCAGGGCGGGGATTGCGACACCGGTGACGAGGCTGGGGGGGGTGTGGAACACGGAGCGGGGAGCTCGCCGGTTGCCACGTCGGAGACGGGAGAGGGATGAGGATGGGGAAGGGGAGGGAGCGCCGCGGGATCCGCCGTGGGGTTTGGGGACACGGGAACAGACCGCGAAATCACGGGGGCTGGGGCAGGTGGGGCAGGGAGGCAAGAAGGGGATAACACACTCTTAACATTCCACAGGGGTTATCCCCATTTGACTGTAACAGAGGTGAACTGCCATGCTAAACATGAGAACCTAGTTCATCCCCGATTTTTCTATCAAACAGACTAATAAAGCACATGGATTTGCTAGGTGTTAATCCCTTGAAAATTTCAGCCCCCTCACGCACCTTCCAGAATTGCCTGGTTCTTTTTCTGGGCAGGTTTGAAGGGGGAAGGATTTAACAACCCCAAGATGCTGCTGCAGCATCTTGGTAACTCGGTCCCAGGGCTTGTGTGCTGCGCAAGAGTTACCCTGCTGGTGACCTTCCCAAGAAAGCTCTGTACTCCTTGCAGATGATTTAGCAACCTCCTGAGGGAGGAGACATGGCAGTACGGGTATGAGGCTGGAGAGATCTGAGCTGAGAGAAGCTGGCTGTCAGAGAGGTGATGGGGAAATTTATTTTTTTTCAAGGGACCGGTCTGGATTCGAGTCTGGAATCTGCCCTGTCCTCTTAAGGACGAAGGCTGACAAGGGAGCTGCTCAGGTTTAATCTGAGCAAGAGGGCAGCTAGGGAAAAGAGGATTTCACTCCTAACCCATTTGCTCAGGATGTGTTGATTTCTGCTCTGGCTCTTATTTTTCAACCACCTAACAAAACTCCTCTAAGAAAGATGGCGTCTGAGTTGTGATACCGTAGTGTGGTTGTACTTAATGTGGTTGAAAAGAGACAAAATCAGCTTTTAGTTCAGTTTGAAGTACTTGGGAAATGAAAATACCAGGTTTATGTCTGGGAGACTGTGTTCATGTGATACAAGGACATAGCGAAAGCCTTTCTGAGCTGAGAGAAAATGAAAATACGTTTTATGATGTGTTTGAAAATGTCAACCCTCTTGACTCTCTTCTCATCAGTAGAGCTTCGTTTAATATTCATCTGTGCGTCTGACCCAGCTAGGCAGGTATAATTCCCTAGAAAATACTTATTTTTCCTTCCACTTTTAGTGGAACAAAGCAATGGCTATTTTTGCCCTGTTTTGATTTGGTTTGCTTCTTCAGGCTTAGGAGAGCAATTCTCCTGACTCAGAGATCAGAATCCAGTTGATAATCTCTGCCAGCCTATGGAACCCTCCTAAGGATGTCAGGCTCCCACAGTAAAGAGCTTTCCAAGGTTTAAAATTTCACCATGGAAGACATCAATAGCCAGAGGATTAGGTAGCAAAAAGCACTGTGCTCCTTCAAGCCACACCAGTTAAAAACTCTCAGTGGGCTTTTCCCCAGGGATCTCTGGGCTACTTAAAAGAATTCAGGGAATGAATTTGAAGGTGGGTTGGGAACGGAGACACCGCCTCTCCTCCAAGGGGATTGCACTCACTTGTAACTGCAGGGATGGGATGCATCTGCCTGGGGGTCAGGGAGACTCGCTGACTCCCTGTCTCCTGATGCCACAGCTACTCCACCACGTTAGAGACCAGCAACCAGCCCGTTACCGACATCTTCCACTTCTCTGTGCTGGATGCAGACAACAGCCAGCTGGACAGGCAGATGTTCACCATCACCATCACATCTGCCCTGGCACCGCCCGCACTCATCGCCTTTGCCGACCACATCACTGTGAGTGGCTGCCCAGGACCCTGGGGATGGGCACAGGGACAGGAATGGCTGAGATGGGAGCAGCTGAACAGTTTTCCTGGACTGGGGGGGAATCACTAAATAAAACATAGTGCCGTGCAAAGGGTGAACGAATCTCTTGGAGGCCAGAGGAGGCTGACAGTCCATCTGCATCCCTGAACTTCATCTGTTAACATCTGTTCTAGTCAGGAGCTGCTTGTCCCTAGCTTGTCCCTTCTTGGTATCAGTGGAGCAAGTCAGATTTATCCCTACTGAATGTTTCACCCCCGATTTCACCAGTGTGTGTGCAAGAGATGAGCAGAAGACAACGCTGGAGACACTTGGTGCTTTGGACTGACACAGAGCGTTTCACACTCCTTACCAAAGCCTTTGGAAGTCATCTCCCTCCTTTCTAGCTTTGCATTTCCCCTCCCTTGCCTTCCAAAGACTCTCCACAACAAGAAATGTGCAGGTCTTGCCTTCGGAGAGGTCACCATGACTCTGCCTGTTCCCTTCCTGCCTTGATAAAGAGCTCACAGGCTCCTCTTGGAGGCCAGGCAGGCTTTGTTCTTCCCATCCCACCCCTCCTCCCTGCTGAATTCCCGATTCGCAGACCTAGGGGAGGATGGGACAGCGCTCCGGAGCCCGGACAAGCCTCTTCCAGGGAGCCAGCCTCATTCAGTAAGGATTTGTGTTGTCTGCTGTTGCTTTGCAGGTGGATGAGGGAGGCAGGGTCCTGCTGCTGGCTCATCACCACTTGACTGCTGATGATGATACTGCTGCCAGGGAGGACCTGAGGGTCACTGTGGTCACTCTGCCTGTGTATGGCTACATCGAAAACACCAGGACAGGTAAACTGCTTGGCTCTGCCTTCTTTCTCCTGGTTGTTTGTGCTCCTAAGAGGAACACATCTGTCACATGCCACGGAGGGGATTGCTTGTGCTGCCTCTGAAACTGCGGCTTCCCCAGTGCCCGCTTTTAACACAGCACGTGTTGCTTCCCTCAAAGGCCACAAGGTATGGGAAGTCAAGTTGTAGAAAGGAACCTCCCTCCTTCTGCAGCCTTCGCAATGTGCCTTTCTTCCCCTCATCCTGCTGGGTTTATGTTGAGTTTATCAGCCACTTGAGCATCCTTTCACCAGCGAAATTCTGGTTTGCAGGCGAGAGCTTTGGCTCATGGAGTGAGTCTACAGGGACCACAGATGCCTCCTTTTCCCTTCAAGATGTCTTGGAGAACAGCATTTACTGCTTCCAGAGCGTCCATGAAAGCACTGAGCCCACAGGTGATGTTTTCCGCTTCTATGTGAGTGATGGCTTCAGCCGGTCAGAGGCGCAGAGCATCAGCATCACAATCCAGGTATGCCGGCTGCCAGAGCCCTCTCCTCTCACACAAACACTTCCAAGGGCAAGCTTTACTCCTTCCTTTTTCATACGTGGGAAGGAGATTAAAGGGAGGCTCCTTCCCCTAGCACAGGCACATAATTTAGGTCTGCTCCCCAAGGAGAGCTGTGCACTGCAGCCTGTTCACCAGGGCTTATTGCTCTGCTGTCTCCTCCCTCTTGGAAGCAGCCATGATGCTGGATAGATTTGGAGGGGCTGGTGATGCCAGCACCACTGCTGTCGTTTGGGAGCCTGTGTTCCATGAGGGTGGGTCTCTCCCTGTGCTCATTTTCCTTTTTCTGGCTGCGTGCCTTTGTGCAGCGGCAGAACGACGAGCCCCCGAAGATGGCGCTGGAGCCTGTCCGCCTGCAGGAGGGCTCAGCCGTGGTTGTTACCAACGCCTCCCTCAGCCTGCAGGACTTGGACACCAGCAGCAGTGAGCTGGTCATCGTGGTGAGCCAAAGTCCTGAGCATGGTATGTCCTGACAGGCCAGGGGGTGAGGGACAGGGAGTCTTTCTGCGTCGGTGTCTGTCTGTCTTTGCTGTGCGCGTGTGTAAGAGCCCCTGGCACGTGGGATAAAGCACAGTTTGGAGCAGGACAGCCCTGTTCTCGGCGAGCTGTCCCTGGCTCTGTGCTGGAGAGCAGAAGGGGGCAGTGCCTGTGCTTCCCTGGGAAGTTCCCCGCTGTGTTCCCAGCTCCCTGCTGGTAGCTGCAGCACCCGAGCCAGGCAGGGTGTCAGGCGAAGGCTCCGTCCCCCGCAGGCTGTGCTGATCCCTCCGTTGTTTGCCAGGCCAGCTCCGCAGAAGGCAGAGCGCGGCAGAGGCCCTGGAGCAGGGACAGGTGCTGTCCAGAGGCTCCTCCTTCACCTACCAGGACGTTCTGGATGAGCTGATCGTTTACACTCGGAGCGGTGCCGCAGCGCAGACGGGCGAGTTTGGCTTCTCCCTCACGGACGGGCTCTACACACGGGCGGGGAGGCTGGAATTCTCCATGGAGCTGCCGAGGAAGCAGCCCCCCCACGGTAGCTATCAACAGGGACCTGCAGCTCCCAGCTGGTAAGGGGCCAGGGAGGAGAGAGGCATTGCTTGGTGCTGCCTAAACCTTGGTCCAGCCTAAAGCAGTCGCTTTGCTGGGCTGGCTGAAGCTGCTGGTGGGGTTTGCTTTCTCTGGTGTAGGCTCCACAGCTCGGCTCACGGCTCAGCACCTGAAGGCAGCTGCTGCTCATTCAGGGGGCACGGCCATCAGATTTGTCCTGAGGAGGGACCCCAGCAGGGGCCAGCTGCAGCTGACCACAGCTGGTAGTTCAGTCCAGATCTCTGCCAAAGGACCCCTCCAAAGTTTCACCCAGGCCGATATAAACAAAGGTGAGTGCAGGGTTTGAGGCAGTCACAGCAAGTGTAAAAACAAAGGCTGGTTTAGGTAGTCCCGTGAGGAGTAGGGAGCTGGACCTGATGATCCTTATGGGTCCCTTCCAGTTTGGGATATTCCATGATTCTGTGATTCTTTATGAGAGAGGGAGGGAAAGAAGTAAGATTAGAGCAGAACCCTGTATCATTGAACAGATGTTAAAACAGCTCTCTCAGCAGGAGAAAAAGAATAAAGAGAGAAAGTTGTGAAACCCAAATTCTGGAGCTCTGTCAAGCCCCAGGTGCCTCAGCTGATGGGGTCAGCCTGCTTCCAAAGTAAGAATTAGAA